TGAGAGGGAGGAGTGCTGCAGAGGCCTGAGGGCTCAAGAGATTTTTGTTTTGAGAAACCTTTGCAATTATACTCACTGACATTTTAAGCTACTTCGATCGATCTAATTTTTTTTGGGGGGGGGGGGGGGGGTGCAAAGAGTTCCAAGGGGAGGATAATTTTTGAATTTCCTACTCCCCCTTACAGGTTTGCTTAATTCCCCTAATGCAAAAATTCTGTTCATTCATTCTGTGCAATATTTGCATACGCACACACACATACACGCGCGCGCGCGCACGCCTAGACTTTAAATGCTTTCTGAGCTTTTCTTTGAGAAAAAATGTGTTTGAACAATGGTGTTATTGAAGTCTTTACAAACATCAGAATTGAGGTTTTAGGTAGTTAAATCTCTCTCACTCTCTCTCGTCCTTGGTGTGCGCATTGAATTAAATCAAAACAAATTGTAACTATTTCAACAGATATTCTTTTCTCTCCCTTCAGCTTGTCTACGAATTCCTCCTTCGATTCGTAGAATCTCCAGAATTCCAGCCCAATGTCGCCAAACGTTACATTGACCAGAAGTTTGTTCTTCAGGTAAAGGACTCCCGTTGATGTTAACTGAAATTTGTTTATGCCCTAACGATACGACATGTCATTTGGGTGAGTGGTTAGTGAATTCCAGTAACCTGCTCCGATTTCCCGGGAGATCTACGTGGAATTTGTAGCCCTGCCCTTACACAACTTCCGTAGGTCTAGAAGTTTGAATCATTTTGGTGTTTAGTTTGAAGCACTTACAATGAGCATCTATAACCTTAATTATGGTTCTCAAATGCAAATGCTTCATTCTTCCCAATTCACCATATCTATCAAGCTATGGAACGACAAATTGCATTTTAGTTTTACTTTTATTTCTTGCATATATTTAAAGTAAATAAAAATTGTCCGTTTACATTTTGAAGCAGCTTTTATTAGTGTCTTTCGAAGTTACTAGCTCTTTTCACATTCCAAGGTACCTTCATCGGCAGATTTAAGCAACGAGAAAGCAGAGGACAGTCAGCCGATCTGAATTTGAAGCGACTTGAAGACCAGCATAGTGGAGCTAGGAAGATGTCGAGGAAGTTCTAACTCGTTTGATAGCTCCATTGTTTTTTTTCAATACATACTGTTCCCTGCATTCTTGTCCTCCAATTTGAAGTTGGAAATTCCTTACTGACAATTCCTGTCCTTAATACTCCATGATTATTAACTTATCAGTTGGTGACGAGAGCTAAGCCATGCCAACTCAGAAATTTTGTACCTTCGGAGAACTAGAAGAAGTCGGCTAATAAAAAGTGGCTCAGATGTGGTTCACTTCTGAAAGTTCATTTAAGGTGATCATTTGTAGCCGGTCATTCTAGATCACGGAGTCTGTGCAGTGATTTGCCACCATAAAAATTCAATTCACTTTGGTAATTATTACCCCTTGATGGACAGGGATTTTACTATAGTTGCGGAGGGTTTCGGTGGAGTATTTATATGCCCGTCTAGGCCAATCTCTGTTTCCCTTGGGGGGATGCACCGGACTATGGAGGTTTTCCATTCTCCTTCGTCACATATATGTGTACTCAAATACTGTTTCCCTTTTACTTTCATCTAGTTGTTGGAGTTGTTTGACAGTGAGGATCCACGTGAGCGGGATCTGGTGAAGACAATCATGCACCGAATCTATGGCAAATTCCTCTCACTGCGAAGCTACATTCGACGACAATTCAGCAACGTCTTTTACAAGTGAGTGCCTTTGAATCATGTAAAACTACACTTATAACCTGGGCTCTCTGCTATCGTTCACGTTCAGTATTTTATATACGCACAAAGTCCTATTATTTTGGCTCTATTTGAAAGTGCACGCGTTTAATCTCCTAACAGTCCATATTTTCGACCTTTGTACTCACATTTTGTCTTGATTTGTTCCTCAAACAGGCTACTTCCAGCCCTTTCAATCTGATGATTTCTTTACAAGAATTCCTTCTTGCATTTTCTTTTTGAATAAGAAGAAAGGCCAAATCCGTTCTCATTTTGGTGGGAAGGAAATGCTCCAAATTTATGACGCGGTACTTTTCCTCTGCTCAGATTTCTTTGTTTGAGTCCTTTTTTTGTATTCTTTCCCACCTTAATTAGGTGATGTTTGGGATGCGTAGTTAAGCCCATGCGTTAGAATACGCTAACTGAATGTAGAAAAATGTTCAATTGAAAGCATTTATTTCAAATGGTCTTTAATATGCTTATTTTGCCATATTCCATTTTGAGTTTTCTTAACTCTTTGTACGAGAATGATAAGTGTTTAGTTTGTTCGACAATTTCCTTATTGCCTTCAAAATATTTATTTAGTTGTATCAAATGACAGGCGTTTTGATAGTTATCATTAGCCCTTTAGTTGACTTCAGGCTTCACAGAGAGGAGGAGGAGCATCAAAGTGATAAAAAGTCGAAAGAGAGGGGGAACTGAAGAGTGTTTCAAAGATGTAAAAGTGGCAGGCACAAAGGTAGAAAAAAGGTGAGGTGAGTACTGTGGAAGTAGTCGAATATGACCACATACAGTGGGGTGATGGTAGCTTGAAGTCAAGTCAACTGCCGATTAATAGACTTTTTGCCGTATGATTATACGTTACCAAGGGTGCACCACGTGGAGGTAAGTCTATCGCACACCCCCTTCAAAATATCGGTTAATTGGATCAAAATTGAAGAAAAATATCCCTAATTCTAATCATAAGTAGCGCAGAGCTTTTTCAAGCATTAAAATGTTGTGATAGGCTGATAATGACAAGTAGACTTTCTCGTTTTTAACTTCTCCCCTAATTAATTTCTCCAGCGTGATAAGCACCGGAGTTCCTCTCTAAATTTCATTTTCTTGTCAACTTTATTTTGTTGACAAGGCACGAGAAGACACACTTGAAAGAGCCGTCATCAGTCACATGCCAGATTCTTAGCAGAAGCGCATGCACCAACTGTTTTTTTGCAAGTTAAGCTTGACGATGATTCCACTTCTCAACTCCTCCGACGTGAAGCCAACATAGATGCGCCGCCACACAGCCTAGTGTTGGAAAAAAAAACGCTTTTCTAAGTCGGCTTGGGAAATGTTTCGCATTTCGCTATCTCTACGTCGCCTTAATAATTGAATTTTCATTGTTGTGGGCTTTAATTATGTTCTTAGACAGTCAAGTTTGAATTCTACAGCTTTTAAGGCGTCTTCCTCCTCACTCTGTCTGTGTCCCATTTTCTCTCATCACTTCTTCCTTCTTCTGCAGATTCATTTATGAAACGGAGCGACACAATGGCACCTCGGAAATGTTGGAGATCCTTGGAAGGTACTTCAATTTATTACCCCTCCCCCCATTATTTGCTCAAATAGAAGTGTGCGTGTGTGTTATGGAATTCCTCTATACCTAAAGTAGATATTATTTGTTATTATTGAAAAAATCTCTCCACTTGCATTTTTTATTGAGTTGAAGCAAAATGAACTCGGTTGGTTGGTTCCCTCTATAATCAATAAACTCGCGTTTTAATGCTCTCTCTCTCTCTCCTTTCTTAAAGTATCATCAATGGATTTGCTGTTCCACTGAAACAGGAGCATAAGACCTACTTAATGCGAGTGCTCATTCCTTTGCACAAGGTGAAATCACTCAGTGTCTACCATGCACAGCTTGCCTATTGTGTTGTACAGTACCTTGATAAGGATCCAAGTCTCACTGAACAGGTCAGCCTTAACTCTGTTTGAAGGCAATCCCTTCTTGATTAATGCCTCTCTTCTAACGCGCCTCTTCTCTTTCTCTCTCCCCTGTCGTCGTCGTCGTCTAGATTGTGTTGGGTTTGTTGAAGTACTGGCCCAAAATGCACAGTCCGAAAGAGGTGATGTATCTGAATGAATTGGAGGAGATACTGGATGTGATGGACTCCACAGAGTTCAAGAAGATCATCAAACCCCTTTTCACTCAACTGGCCAAATGTGTCTCCTCTCCGCATTTCCAGGCAAGTTTTGTGTGTGTCATGCTCTCTCAATGTCAATGTCAACGTAATCTCTAATGCTAGTGTACTCTCTCTCTCTCCTTTTCTAAAGGACAAAAAAGACACCCACTAAGGCTAATTTCCTGAAGAGCTATTGTCACGTCTTATAACTTTTATAGGAGGTATCCGATCATTTTGAAATGTCTTTTTTCCTGTTTCATTCTTTGTTTGTTGGTGTCTCTTGGCTTGAAAGAGGCTTCTGTGCACTAGAACTAGGTAGTTGTTCATTAGCGACCTAAAATGAGGTCTGCTTTGAGTTACTTTAATCGTCGTATTTCTCAGGCTAAGATTAACCGTTTTCAAGGGAGTTTTGAGGTTTAATTAATCAAAGGCCCCTCCCCCCCTGCTCTACTTTACCATTGAGGCCTCTTGTGGGTGACTGCATGATAAACAGGAGCAAGATGGTTCCCTCACGTCTTCGCCTTTATTCATTTCTCTACTCACGACATACTCGAATGTGATCCTGTCGAGGTGTGCTTTGAGCGGGATCTTAGAATGCTCGATATTAGTAAGTTCGTGGATAGACAAGACATATATTTGCAGTGATTATGGTGATTTGGAGGATTTGGCAATCGATGAAAATACTATGGGACCATGTGTGGATATCATACGCATGAAAGTAGACAATTATTTGTTTTGTCAATTTTTTTTGTTCAAGGATACTGTTGGGATAGATGTATGACATTCATCGTAACGAGGACATTGTGCACTTTGAATATTTATTTATTTTAAATGGGAGGCGTTTTGATGGTTACCATTAGCCCTTTGGCCGACTTCGGACTTCACAGAGGGGAGGAGGAACATCAAAGTAAGAAGGATTCAGGAGGGGGAATAGAAGAGTGACTCACAGATGTAAAAGAGACAGACAGACATAAAGGTAGAGAAAAGGTAAGATGCGTACTGTGGAAGTGGTGGAATATGACATAGAGTGGGGTGATGGTAGCTTGAAATCAGAAGTCAACTGCCATATGAGTATACGTTGTCCAGGGTGCACCACTTGGAGGCAAGTCTATCGTACACCAAGCACTTTGAATATCATTTAGTTCCTACTTTTTTAGTTCATACTTATTCCTGAACACTTTCAACCATTACAAAAAGTTTGAAGACAATTTTTTGTGGCCCGAGTTGGCCTAGAAGGTTATGGATTATTTGATTGTTTACCTGTTTGTTGTCGATATCCTTTGCTTATGAACGTATGGATAATATGTGAATGCTCCTTTTTTTGGTTAGTGGATTCATGCGATTTAGCGAAATTCCTTCATCGCACTTTACTCTTGGATTTCTTAATTGCATTCATCGGTTTCATAGGTGGCTGAACGAGCTCTGTATTTTTGGAGCAACGAATACATCCTCTCCCTCATGAGTGACAATGTGGAGACCATTCTTCCCATCATGTTTCCCGCTTTGTACAAGACCAAACAACACTGGAATAAGTGAGTTCACACTTAATTCTCTCTCCCATCCCCTCCCCCC